CCCCTAATTTCTCAATAAGATAGAAGAAAAATTGAAGCTTTACCCCTGGTTTTGTTATGCAAAGTTGAGTTTCAAATACTCTGCAAATATAAAAGCAAATTCAACTTTAACTTGTCTCAGAAAAGAATCTATTAAGCTTATTTATAGTAAGATATAAAAGCCTAATAAAGCCTTATTTACTTCTCCTAAGAAAATTTGCTTTGAATAGAGTTCAACAGGGGAATTCCATGCATCATTGATCTTTATGCATTTAAAGAATATTTTACTTTGTAACTTGAAAAAGAGAATATAACCTGATAGTCCATGCATACATTAATGGGGGGAAAAGGCTTCTTATCTGGTTTGTGCCCATTCTTCTTTTGAATCTGACCTTTTATTTGGCTTAACTAAGGGAAATGGCATTCACAATTGTCATTGAAAAGAGAGTCCCTTAACTACCTGAAGATTAACTTGCTTTATTCCAAAGCCCACGCTGCTTCAGAGCACTTAGTTACTTTGTTTTATGATTATCTCTCCCATGCAGAATCCAAAGTGTGGCATGCATCACATAAAGTGCCCTTGTGCAATACTTAAACCATCACTCTGATTCACTGAAGTAAAATAAGCTGTGCTTTATGAATGGCCACCTATTAAATTTACTAAAGAAGTATGTGCCACCCCCAGCACATGGGATTCCTTCTCATGATAGCCTTTAACTTTTCTAGAATAGAAAATGTTTCTTCTTCCTATTAAATATAGATTCTGCTTAAAAAAAAAAAAAAAAAAAGAATATCCAAAAGTTCTTGCTTTTCTAAGCCAGCTATCTATGTATCGGAATAAACATTAAAATAACTTGGGAATAAGTCAATTCTAATTAACAATCCCTCTGCCCATTTCTAATTGCCTTAACACTTTTCATTAGAGTTATTTGTGCACTTTGTACAAATGCTAATGAACAACTCATAAATGCTAGTAAATGTGTCCCTCTGAAAGGAATAAAAAGAAAAACTAGACTAGAGTAGCTTTAATAGTTGAGAAGTGGATGTTGAAACTAATAAAATACTCTGTGTGCTCTATATACGTAGGCAAAGTGTTTGTTTAAGGAAAAAAAAATACTGTCTGGATATGCCAGAGAAAAATGTGACTATGAAAATGTTTACTTTCCTTCTTTTTTT